AACCATATATGATCATTATACGTTGTCATAAATGTTCGTGGTAGGCTTGAATTAATGAAATCGGTGCAAGTTTTAAATCGGTAAATTGGTCGTTTAAAGGCAAATTGGATGGTTTCACCCAATCAATTAGACTCCCAGAGGATATTTGGGACCATGGTAAATATTTCGGAAATTTTTATTTTCGGGTAAAAAAAAGTTACAAAATTCCAAAATTGAAGGCTAATATCCACACTTGTTGAGAAATTTTGAAGGTTTCGGGGCTCGGTGTCGAAAAGTTTTGAAAATATAGGGGATATATCTCGGGTTCATATAATGCTGTTTGGAACCATATATGATCATTATATGTTGTCATAAATATTCGTATTAGGCTTGAGTTAATTAAATTGGGGCAAGTTGTAAACCGGTAAATTGGTCATTTAAAGGCAAATAGGATGGTTCCACCCACCCAATTGGACTCCTGGATGGTATTTGATACTATGATAAACATTTCGGCAATTTTTATATCCGGGCGAAAAAAGTCACAAAATTCCAAATTTGAAGGCTTAATCCACGCTTTTTGAGAAATTTCGAATGTTTCGGGGCCCGGTGTCGAAAGGCATTGAGATTTTAGGGGATACATCTCGGAGTCATATAATTATGTCGTTTGGATCCATATATGATCATTATATGTTGTCATAAATGTTCGTGGTAAGCTTCAGTTAATGAAATCGGTGCAAGTTGTAAACCGGTAAATTGGTCGTTTAAAGGCAAATTGGATGGTTCCACCCAGCTTATTGGACTCCCAGAGGGTATTAGAGACCATGGTAAACATTTCGGCTATTTTTATTTCTGTGTGAAAAAGTCAGAATTTCTAAAATTGAAGACTAATATCCACACTTTTTGAGAAATTTTGGTGGTTTTTGGTAGAGCTGTCAATTCTAGTAAACGGGTTGGGTTTGGGTCGGGTCAACTCGGGTCGATCAATTCGGATTAATTCCATAACTTATGCGGGTCGGTTTTAGGTTGGGTCATGCTTGAGTCGGGTCACGTCGGGTCATACTTCTGATCGGTTTTGGGTCGGGTTAATAGCAGGTCGGGTTACATTCGGGTTGGGTGAACAATTGGTCGAATTTAATTCAGGTTTTCACGGGTTAAAACAGGTTAGGGTAATTCTCGGGTTCGATTCAAGTCAATAATTTGCGGGTTAGAACTAGGTCGGGTCATTCTCGGGTTTGAGTTGGGTTCGGTTCAAATCAATAATTTGCGGTTTATAATCAGGGTCATTATCGGGTTCAAGTCGGGTTCGGTTCAAGTTAATAATTTGCGGGTTATAATCAGGTTGGGTCATTTCCAAGTCGGGTCATTCTCGGATTCAAGTCGGGTTATGTTCAAGTCAATAATTTGCAGGTTACAATCAGGTCGGGTCATTTCCAAGTCAGGTCATATTCGAGTTGAACTAACTATAAATAAATAATTATCATTTTGATCAAGCTAATTATTTCCTTTGACAATATAATATATATGGCAATATAATACAGAGCTAACTATAGTTTATAATTTAGGAAAATAATTATCCCCTTTGATCATACAATAAATATATACTATATTTAACTCTTAAATTTGAGGATGATGCTCCTTTCTTTTACTGGCCTGGACCGACTTGCTCTCCCAAGACAAAATGCTTTGATCAACATTAATAAGGTGATCTAAATTGCATTTAAGGTGATTTGAAATCGGGTCAGGAACAATTTAGATTGAATTTAGGTTGGGTCAATAACAAGTCGCGTTGATTTCAAGTCGGTTTAGTATCGAGTTGAATTTTTGGGTCGGGTTAGTAATAGGTCTTGTAAAATTCGGGTCGGGTCAATAACAAGTCGGGTTGAATTCGGGTCGGGTTTGTTACAGGTTGGGTTAAATTCGAGTTAGAAACGGGTCGGGTTGAATTCAGGTCAGGTTAGTATGGTCGGGTTGAATTCAAGTCAGGTTAGTAATTGGTCGGGTTAAATTCGAGTTTTGACGGGTTAAAATAGGTTTGGGTCAATTTCGATTCAAGTCGGGCTTGATTTAGGTCAATAATTTACGAGTTACGTTCGGATCGGGTCATCTCCAGGTCAGTTCATGTTCGGGTCTGTATCTCACATACTTGGGTCAACTCGGGCCTAGTGTTTCAGATCGGGCGGGTCGGGTTTGGATCACCATTTTTTCGAGTTCAGATGGATCGGATTTAAGTCGGTATTTCGGATCAGGTCAATTTTTGATAGCTCTAATCACAACTAAACCACTTGCGGTATATTAAAGTCTACTAGCATTGTAGGGTGATAATAATTCGCGTTTACCATAAAAAAAATAGTAGTGTTAATATATTTATTACGGACGTAATGTTCCTTCGTACTCCACACGCACTGATGTACATTGACCAAAGTTTGCGTGACATAATATTTTGAATAGCCTACAAAATTCATTTTTACTGAAAAGATGTGTTACATATACTGTATGTGTTTCTTCTAGCATCATCAGATTAACAAACATAAATACAGTTCTTACAGAACCCTGCTATGTTGGATTTGTGCGATACTAAACCATAGTAGCATGAGCTAGAATAATCTGCAAAAGATGCGTATATATACAAATCCAAAAAACTTTACAGCACAGTCCAACATATTGCATTAGAAACTTGTATATTCCTACAGTCCCTCCTGCAGCATAAAAAGATTAGCTCTTTCCGAATTTGGCTTTTCTTCCCTAGATTGCATAACATCCTAATCCCATTGAGCCAAATTTGCTCTTAATGTATTGTCAGAATTCACACCCTTTGGCACGCCAATTTAAATATAACCTGAGAGCCACAAGTATTGCTGCAGCATGTAGGCAATGCGGTACCACATTATATTGGCACGCTCCACATAATTCATCTGATCAAAGGTATTGAATTACCTTTCCGGAGCTTTCTTGCAAAGCGCTTGATACCATTCACAATTCCAAGCATATCACTGAACTTGTAAATGAATGAGATTGGGCACAAATTCAATTTGATCCTTCTCAAAGTTATCAGAGGGGCAAACCTAAATGAGATAGTTCCATAATGCCCTCTGCCATTTGTATAGAATAAGACTGTTCGGAAAACTAGTTCTGAACCACAGAGAGGAAGGGCAATGGATCCTATGGTTCACCAGAGAACTAGTTCTCTAAACAGCCTTATTCAGCTACTTATTTGAGTCAATGATTCCAAGCATATCAATTCTGTACATTGAGCTCTAGTAGCAGGCAGGTGGTGTTCATAAGGAAATTATTCAGAACCTCAGCTATATATATATATATATATATATATATATATATATATATATATATATATATATATATATATATATATATATATATATATATATATATAGGTGTTTTAAGACCTGAAATACCCCTCAGCATGATGCAGGAAGCTGGAGCTACTAGCTAAAATACACAAAATCAATTACCATATAAAACTAAAACAATGTTTTGTTCATGTCTATTCAATCATAGTATGGATCCTATATCCTCTATCAGTAGTTTGATACATCTGGGATTTGTTATTTATACAAACAAATCATAACTTTTTTCAAATATTATACAAATCAACACTGGACAGCAATTAACTACAAAGAAACAGATTTTGCAGAATCCTCCCCAAGCTAGAAATTTTCTAGTTACCTGCTAGATTTCAAAATCTGACTGTATGGTGACTGCATCAACCCAACAATCCAATATTCCTTGACAGACCACCGGAAATAATTCACATAACCAATGGCAGAAAACCACTAACAAAACAAAATAAGTCGCTATCTTTCAAAGACATCCTCTCTTTGTGCATAAGCGACTTCATCAGACAAAAGCAAAATGCAGAGTATCATACCTAGGCATTTTCTTGTAGCTTCTTCTAGTATAAATTAGGTCAGTAAAACCTATCGAGGCTAAAGAAAATCTTGTGGCATATGGACAGGGAAGATAAAGAAACATTTAATCACTAAAAGGCATTAAAAAAGATGAGCTTAGAAGGATAAAGAAAACAGATCTCTTAGCATCAAGCACTCTGAATCAAGATTTCCAAATATCATTTTCATGGTTGTTCCATAGCTAGACTCAAGTGACCGTATAGCACCAATTTATTTAACTCAGTCATTTCAGAGTAGAAATAGCTTCAAGATTATTGCCATGCCATATCAACCAGAAATCATATTAAAGTAAGAGATTCTAAACTTTGATCAACTTTACATGTAAAGTTAATAAAAGGCTTCCTCAATTGGAGAGATTTAAAAAATAAATAAAATAAAAAATAAAGTTTACAAAAATACAAAGAATTTAGAAAGTAAAAATACCTAAATCATGCTATATTTTATATACAGTTGTCTTCTTTAGAAGAGACTTGGGTATAAACAAAAAAGAGTTGGATGACTCATTTTTTACAACTCATAGAATCATAGCACATCCCTGCCCAAGATCACCCAGCAAAGACCTAGATCCTCTCCTCTATAATCCACCTCGAGAAGAAGTTATTGTTTAGCAAAGAAAATCCTAGCTCAAAAAGGTTTTAAATAAAATTTACATACCATAGCCAAAAGGAAGGTAGTTACTTGATAACAATAGTACTCAAGTTTAATAAAATAATGTAATGTAAGTTATTGACTAAACTCATCGTCCCAAATTTGAGATAACGTTTTACTCTATTGGATGATGACATGATTAATGACCACTCAAGTTATTTTGAAAATGAAGATCTAGCTCTCTTGCTCACTTTCAGGAATTGCTAACCAATAAAAGCATATGCAAGGGTTTTTTAAGTAGAAATTACTGACACAATACAGACATCAAAGATTAAAAAATCATAATCAACTATTAGCTACAGAAACAATTGGCATGGATTTGATTGAACCATGACAATTCAAGGAGGTTTCAAGATGAGACAAAAAAAACCTCCTTGATACTTGAAATCAAGTGCATCAATTTTTAGTTAGTACATCAGAAAGAAATAGAACAAAAGGAACAAAGACTAAAAACAACACAAGAACTACAAAGGGGGACATGTAGCTTATGAGCATTAAACACTGAGAAGGATGTTAGCTAAAAATTATTTACAACATAATCAACTTTCAAGCATAGGGTTTATATGGAAATATATTACTTTGAACTATAGTTTCAAACAAAATCTTAGTTTATCATAAATTTGCTACTTTGTATCTAATCTTTATTCATATTGAAGAACTCTAAGTTACCCCCATTTTTAATGCCATCCCAATTCAACTTCGGGTCAATGATAACGACACTTTTGGCATGCTTTCAACCTAAGCTTGTAGGCTTCCTTCTTATTACACTCCTTAGTCGCAAGTTCCTTGGCCATTTTAACTTCATCGGTCTTCTTGGCAAGCTCAATGATCTTACCTTGAAGCTCCTTTTTGGTAGACTCAAGCTCACACACAACCTTCCACATTTGTTGACGATTCTTTTTTATTACCTCGTCTAATTTATTCTTTTCATCCTCGAGATTTTTCTTAAGCTTTTGGATCTCAACATCATATTCTTTACAAACATCTTGACATGTAATGCTTTCTTTTAAAATCTCCACATTAAGACCATCATCCATCTCAATTTTCAACTTCTTTGAAGGCACAAGATATTCCGTGAGCTTCCTATACAAAGTTTGTGTTGGTTGCCTTTGCATAGTCACCTTTGAAAAGGACAAATCTTTGAAGTGAAAAGCATGGCTATCTATTATCTCCCCCTCTTCGATATCATAATCTTGAGAGTACTCATCATTTCCATCTAGTATCTCCCCCTCCTCGAGATCATAATCTTCATAGTGCTCACATAACGCCTCCCTCTTCTTGGAACCAAAACCTTTGGAGTGTGAAGCATTACTATGTACCACCCCTCCCTCCTTAATATCATAACCTTCGGAGTGCGGAGCGTTCTTATGTGGAACCTTCCCCTCCTTAATAGCATCATTTTCCAAGAGTGGGGTGTTGTAATGTAGCATCTCCTCCTCTTCAATATCCATGACTTTTGCATCACAAACCCTACAATAAGAGGGAATTGTTATGCCATATTCACCTCCTTTAATATGGTGGATATCAAAATTAGTTTGGGCGAACCTTAGTGAAGAAGCACAAATGGCAAATGTCGAGGCTTCACTTCTCCCTAATCCTTGGTTAGAGGAACGGTGACAATGGTGACCACTAGTAGTAACTTCTTTATTAAGAGAATTGTTCAACAAGGGAAGTTTTTGTACATCTAGAGGAAACTCCAAAGTGTTTATTGCAGTAATTTCTGCAAAACGTTTAATATTGTAAGCTAACAAAAAACATAATTAAGAATTTTCAAAAAAAATTTGAAATCGAAAAAAGAAAGGAAAAAAAACATAAGTGTGTCAAGAAAAGGTCAAATCTAATTCGAATATACTAAAGGTGATCAACTACGGCCTGACTCAAAAAAGAATGGGTTTGAAGTACAGTTGTAGTTTAAAACCTGAACTCGGCTTGAAAATAGTCGAAAAAGCCTACCCCTTTTATGCGGGTTAGGGCATGAGATTTTATGCTAAGGCCCAATCCGACCCAATTTTAAAGAATGATATCACTTTAGTTTGAAGGAAATCAACATCTTCATCTCAATTTTTGATGGAAATCAACATCTTCATCTTCACATGTACCTTAGCTTCGAATGCAAGATAATGGCCCCACTTCAATTAGGAACACACCTTATCTTACCACCTTGCACCTTGAAGTGTAAACCCCATTTCTAAGTGCTCCATGAGAAAGAACTCAAACTACACTATTTGAAGTCTTTTTGTTTCATGGTTTAAAAATAAGGTTAAAAAAATATGCTATAAAATACAGTACAAGTTTTAACACTTGGCCAATCAAACCACAAAAGAAATACATTATACTTCCCGTTTCCAATAACAAACATTGCTTGATAAGAAAAAAATGTTCCATACCCAAAACATGTTTATAATTAACTTTTCACAAAAGATTTAAAGAGGAAAGTAGTTGATTGGCTATCTAATGTAAAGTTTTTAAAAGGTTAGAAGTAACGAGAGTTAAAAGAGGGTGTGAGGACCAATAAGTTTAGTTTGAAGAAGATAAGATTATTAAAATTTGTCTATTTAAAAATGGAATTGTAAGAGAATCATAATAAATAGGTTAAAAAAAAAAAAAAAAAAAAAAAGGAAGTATAGAAAGTACTCTAAGACAAAAGGAGTATGTATTAAAACTCATAAGGAGTAATATAGATGGCAAATTTACAAATTAGTTCAATTCCTCCATATCTCTAGAGAATATTTGAGAAAGCTACAATCAGCTTAGCTAAAAAAGGAGTTATCAAAGGCACTTTATCCCATAGCAAACTAACCACACAAGATAACATCCTTCAATTTTAACCAAAACTTTCAACCCAATCACCTTAAGTATAGTTCACCAAAGCACTTTCTTCCCATTCTCCATAAAAACCCACAAAGCGAGAGATGTTTGAAGAGCACACTCATTATGAATAGCAAAGAGTCTTCTCCAAAGATAACTTACTTGTTCACAATGAAGGAAAACTTTTAAAGACTTCTACATTTTGATCTACTCAGATTTCCAACTTCCATCTAATTATGTAGCCAACTTATGTCCATGTTGATAGAGCATAACTCATGTTGACCATTACATCTTCCAAGAATAATTGCAAAAGACTTTTTAACTTCGTATGCATTGTACGAGTCAAATCCAATTTCCAAAAAGGCAAAGAGGGTTGCATAAGCACAAAATCCCTTGTCAATACGACAATTTAAGAAGGATGGACAACAAATATCTTCAAATTAACAATTATGGGGCTCACTCCAATCAAACACATGTTCCGTTATAGAACTTATAACCTAGACCTTTATGAATTTAGTCCTCGAGCCGTCTAATTTGTATATGCCTATTTCAAATACATGGTAATCCAAATTGCAAACAAGCTAAAGTACATTCCTTACTGCTTTTCAACAAACTAGCATTCTCAACCCTTCAACAAACTACATTTTGTTGTTACCCACATAAAACATATTATACAACACTTCGTTGAAAAAATTATGCAGCATGCCCCTCTTCAGAACAATCAAATATTTTTTAATGCATACCACTTTTTGAACCCAATACCTAATTTCCTATACTTTTCCATTAACCTTTAATGCTTACACTTGATAAAAGTCACACTCGGAGGATGATCCAAGCCATATCCGTGTATCAAATACTAACAATTAAAAATTTCAGGACTTGAAGACACTTTCATAAGAACATACAGAATCAAAGAGATAATGTGAAGGTATTAAGAGAGGGCCAAAGACCAAGTGCTTCGGATACAAGTAAGATAACATTAGCTAGAAGTATGATGCTTTCGACAACCATTATCCACTATCATTATCATCTCAAAAGTCAACATGTTTGAAGGAGTTTTAATGTTTATTTCTTGCTTGTTTTCATCCAGCAAAGACAAGACTTTCTATACGAGTTATTATAATTAAGTAGCCATACCTCCAATGTACCATTATGCTCTTTTGTTAAACTCCATGCTAATCAAACATTACTTAAGATTGCAAGCATTCCTTCTGTTTTCTTTAAATTTAACCATTTACTCTAGACTATTATATTAGGAGATTTGAGTGGGTGTAAGAAAAAGGTTCATAAAGTAAAAGACATGTGGCGAAAAAAATGGGTGGGTGTAAAAGGTAGGTAAAGTAAGAGATGATAGGAGAAAAGTTGTAAACATTAAAAGGTAAGGGGATAAGATAGTTAAATTGTATTTCTCTAACGTAGAATAAAGTAAAATTGGAGACAACATATACTCAATATAGAAAGTGGGTATATCACAATACAAAAAACACAAGGAGTGCTTTGATGCCACTGAAAATATAATTTCATGTTACAAACTTATTAAAAGTGGTCTAATTGGTCTCAATAACCTCCACGTTAAGGATAGGGAATTAGGGAGTCATGATATAGTAGAAGGTGACAATTGTCTCTCAATCTCATGAAGCAATAACACTTATCCTTGTGGAAACACATGTGGCACTAGGTTGTAAGTAGACTGTAATGCAAACTTTACTACTAGTACATGGTGAACAAGTAATTAAAGGGTAAAACGAGAAAAAAGATTCGGCAGATCAAGTAAGTGATGCTATCCCGTGAAAAAATTGGAAAGAATCATATCATAAATAGTTGAAAACTTACCTTGATTGGTTATTTTATGATCAACTTGGGGAGCTCTTTCTTTGGCATTAATGTCATCTCCTATACCGTTTAACTGACAAAATTCTTGATTAAAGGCTTCAGCATGCACTCCATCCATCTTTAAAGGATTTATGTTAATAAAGGTGTCAACTCCATCTAACGCGCATAACTTCTTCTGCATAACAGCTTTTGGTGCAGAAAAATGTCCAAATATTCAACCATGTTAATTAATTAGCTCCACAAAAAGGAAAAGCTAGATAATTGGCTGATATAGACTCAAGTAGATCATCGCAAAAGTACAACTGTTACCTATGGCTGGAGAACCATGCAAGGTAGGATCGCGAGCATCTACCTCCTTCCATGAGAATGTCGATTTCTTACACATTTTACTCCTAGCTCTCTTGCAATGAGGACCTAAGTTGGGTATAAGATCTAATTTAGCTTGAGTCAATCTCTTTCTCTTTATCCCAGAGAAGGATCTGGAACCAATAGCTGAAAGACCCATAACTATAACTTTATGGGGTTCACCATCCTCACTAGAAATCTTCTGACAAGCATCAACAGTACCATTAAAAAAACCTGATATTCTCATCAAAATGACCTGCATTGTATTTCTCATCCATTTCAAGACTGGAGTCATCAAGAACCAGATTTTGATGGGCGAAACAGTCATACACAACTTCTCCGTATTTTTCAACTGGTTTATCAAGATTGGAAGCTAAGGGAGGAGAGAAACAACTCATATTTTGGACAACTATTTTCCCCGATGGACTTGCTAATAAAACTACTCCCCTCATAATCTCTTCAGGGCACTCCATGAAAGAAGAAACAGCTTCCTCATACTCTTCTCTATCATTTAATAGATAGTCCAAGGATAGTGAATCTGTATAATTTAGTTCTGAGATGCTATGCTGCGATGATGGTGGCAAAATGCACAATGGTTTCATCTCTTCTTCAACATAAACAATTGCATTCTTATCTGCAAAATCCCATAAATAAAACCTTGTTAGATACATGCAATGATCCAATAATAGGCAGAGAATAATAGTCATTGGAGCATGCATGATCGGGGAATATAACCATAGAGGGAAGATAAAGTACATTGTTCACTTTCCCTTTCAAGTGCTATAGTAGAATCTTCAAAACATTCTTCAGTCCTAGTGCCATAGGAATTGAGATCTTCGAATTCCATTGATGGAGAACAGTACTCACAAAACCAATCAAAAGTATCATTGACGCTTCCAGGTGATATGCCAATGCAGTATCTGGAAGAAAAAAAAAATTACCAAGGTGATATATATATAAAAGAAAGCATAATAGTATCTGGAAAAAAAATATACAAAGGTGATATACCAAAAGGGAAGCATAACAATATCTGGTTAACAAAAACAATTTTAAACAATGTCTCATTCGGCCTTTTTATGTTATTGTTGTGCACGTGCAGGATCATCTACATGTTCTCTCTCTCTTTTTTTTTTTTTAAATTAAAAAAAAAAAAAAGCTTGAGTGCTTGACTGGAACCGCCAGTTCACTCAACTAGCCACTAAAAGAGAAAAAAAGACTTACTGGTGCACGGTAGTATCTGAGCACTTTGAGCAGTAAATCAAAGCATTTGAGAAACCACAATGCCCACAAACATTGCAAACCTTTACCTAACAATAACAATAAGCTCTTATCAAACACCTATAATGTCAATTTCATTTATGATGAGAGCAAATCCTTATGTATGAAATGGACAATAATATAAACACAAGCCTTCAGCCTCAAGTATATAGAAGTACTACATATATTATATTACTTTTCATCTGCATGAAACAAGGAAGACCCTAAGATTATTCTCTACCAAATGCACGTATACAAATGATGTAGAAAGTTAAATATCTCAATATGCTTTCCAGCAAAGCATGTTCATGGTTTTTTTATCATGATATTTCTCCACAGGAAGTCAATAAGGTAAAATGTTTACACATTCCTTCTTCCCTCGACATCCCCCCTCTCTTTTTCCTTGGAGACTGAGAAATGGGTACAACAAAAGAGGGGTTGAATATTTATGAGTACTATAAAGTATAAACAACCGGATGAAATCCTTCCAAAAGAATTTTAAAAAAGAATCCAGATAAAACACCAAATAATCTAATGGACCTATCAATACCCAAAACTTAACATAAGCATCAATGATCCACAAATCCAAAACTTAACAATACCCCCCCCCCAACAAAACTACATCAATGCACCACCATTAGCAGTAATACAGAAAGGCTACAATTAATTATTACTTTGTAACGTAAGCAGTAGAATGCAACTTCAGGATCACTCCCATCCATACTATATGATGAGTTTCTATCCTATACACAAGTGGAAATTTTCATCTAGAATTGAAATTTTCGTCTCCCAAAGGGAAATAAGAATTGTAGTAACTATAAAGGACTACAATCAACAATCAATATTTCAAACCCCAAATATTAATCACAACAGAAATTATTTTTGATAACCAACAGATTTTTTTAAACAACAAAACAACTTTAATTTTAAAGTTTTGAATTTAATACCATAGAAGTGATATAACTTCACATTTGCACCCCTTTCCAGAATAACCCATTCCAAAATAACCCAGCTCATTAAAAAAAAACAATTCATGTAAATCATAAACAATCCATCACTATAATCAGACATTAATATCAAGAATTATATTAAAACATAAACAACAAGAAATGCACTACTGTATATAATAATCTCAAAACTTAAAAAACTATAATCAACAATCTATCACTGTAATCAAACATCAACATCAAGAAAAGGTAATACAAAAAAATTAAAAATAAATTATTATTAAACTGATTTTCACCTGGGTCCCCTTCGAAATTTCCACAACTTCAATTCCCTCCTTTGGTCCACAATTTCCCATCATTCCTACAAAACAAAAGAACATACACGTTAAGAAAATAACGAAAAAAGGACAAAAAATAAACCCCAAAAACAAGGGAAGTCTAGAGTACATCGAAGGGTTAAAATACTTAATAATTTCACACTCAATCTTTAATGGCGTTCACACCTGAGTGAATTTTGGGTATTGTTGAAACCCTAATGAAATAAAGGGAAATCAAAGAAGCAAAATTAGGGTTTAATAACAATGGAAGTGGAAAGGGTTAATTAATTGAACTCTAATTAACAGAATAATTAGGGTTTTTGATGAAAGTAGGGGGAAGAGTGATTGTTTGAAGTGTTAATTTTGGGGAATTTTGTAGGGTTTTCATGGAATTCTGACCCTTCGAAGAATTCATATGATCACTATTGAAAGTGTAGGAGATGAGTGAAGGGATGAGTGTCAATTTTCAGATGGGGTTTTTTGTGGGCCATGGAGTGGAGAAAGTTAATTGGTATACACTAGACCCTAGTGTAGGTAGGGGTACCTACACCCCCCTCTAAACTTATCATTTTACCCACATCCCATAACCCACAAACCTGCAGTAACTACCCACCAAATCATTTTAATTTCTCTCTCAAACCTTCTTCTTCATTTCTCTAGACTTTCTCTCTCATCAAAACAAAAAAATCTGAACCAAAATTGCTTCAAAATACTACGAAACTGCTTCAAAATACTTTGAAATTGCTTCAAATGTCTGATATTCGAGATGAAATTAAACAATCACAACAAAAAGAGTAAGTAATTTCGTTAGTTTTGTTCATTTTTTGAGATTGTAGTGCAATTTTATGTGTGAAACCTTAATTTTGTTCATTTTGTTGCGATTGTAGTGCGATTTTGCAAAAAACCACTACAGAGAAGAACATGAAAGAAGAAACTGCAAAATCGGAGCAAAATGTATCTAAAGAGTAAGTAATTTTGTTCATTTTTTTTCGATGACAATTATAGTGCGATTTTATGTGTGAAACCTAATTTTTGTTCAATTTTTTGCAATTGTAGTATGATTTTGGAGAAAAATACTTCAGAGACGAGTAATTTGTTGAAAATTTCTGAAGAAATGTATGAACTCTAACTTTTGTAAAACCTAATTTGTTCATATTCTTGCGATGAAAATTATAGAGCGAATTTATTTGTAAAACCTAATTTTTGTTAAAATTTTTTGCGATTGTAGTAATTGTTCTAAGATTTTACTGAAAATAACTAAAACATTAACAATTTATTAAATAAAACAGAGACGATGATGATGATGTACCTCTTCAGTCAAGAGTAGACAAATTGAAAAAAAACCGCCAAAAATAATCCAATTGTAGATCCGGAACTTTTAAAAGATATTGACAAGTCAATTGGTACGGATTTAACAATGTCTCCACTACCAAGGTAATTAGTCATTTACAGAATATATTATGTTCATGTCTAATATGCTAGTTGTATTTGATAAAAATTGGTTTTATCTTTGTATAATATGTTATTTATATATGATCATATTTGATACTCATAATGTTCATTTATAGATATAGTTATGATCATATATTTATATTTGTTCATATGAGTATTTATTGAGATTTAAAAACAAAAGTACATTTCATTGAAACATCATTGTATATGATCATATTTGATACTCATAATGTTCATTTATAGATATAATTATGATCATATATGTATATTTGTTCATTTGAGTATTCATTGAGATTTAAATAACAAATATACATTTCATTAAATCATCATGCACATATATAAATATGATAATAATCATTTCAGTGATATGCATTCAAACTAATGTCATGTAATTAATTTATAATGTAGTGATGTGCCATTTAGAGTGATACACTTGCTTCAATTTAGAGATGGGAAATCTGAACCATTAACTCTAAAGAAGGTTATAGAACAAAATGAATATGGTAATAGTTATGAAAGATACACTTTAAACAAGTAAGTTTATATGTATAAAATAATTGTTTTTACATTCAATTATTGTACATTGTATATATATACCAAACTTATTAGGTAATTCTTAAAATTTTAGTGAAAAAAAAAAGGTTCGAGTGAAATTTGTTATGTCAAAATCAAGACCACCAGAGACAAATCAAACAATAAGGTATAAAAGCTTTATACAAAATAACTAATTATCTTCTTCATTGTATAAATTAGTTCATACTTTAATATCATATTATATAAAATAATTCTGTTTTTTTTAAGTGAACAAAGTGAGAACATTCCTGCTACTAATGCAACAACTAAGAGTGTGTCTGCTACACATAACACAACTGACAAAGAGAGTAGGGATGAAAGGTATACTAATGATCAATTTTATATAAACAAATGTTCATTTTTATAACAGTATATTTTATGTACAATTTATGTGCATTTTTTATTTAAAGTATTTCTTAATATTGATTTCAGCAAGCAAGAAGAAGTTCAACCAAAAGTGCAAAGCAATCCAGTAAAGAATAGTCTTGGCCAAAAGTAAGAAAACTTAAATGTTCAATTTAGATAGACTATATGTTCATTTGAAAATCAGTACAAAAAAGTTTGCTCATGGCCAATAGTAATATAAGTTATATGTTCATTTTTTTATTTACTAATCAAAATTGTAAATTCAAACATATTTTTAATGAAATATCAGAAAACCCAAAGATGATTCAAGAATAACAACATTAAAGGACAAGATGCAAGAAATACATTTAGACATAGAGAGAAACCCAAAGTATGTTTAAATTTAAATAATTGAATTAATTTAATCAATTAATGAATATATTTCAAAGTTAATATCATACATTTACAGAAAGTACAAAGAATCGACAATCAGAATTATGAGAAATCTCAAAAGAATGGAAAAGGCAAGCAAGGAAATCAGGAAAGGTAAATGATCATATTTATTGAATATTTTTGTTTAATAGTCATAAATATCAATTTTAACAATACTATTACTTTTGAAGGTGAAGCAAAAAAGAAAGAAAAAGGGCCAATAGAAGAGAAAACTGTGGAAAAAGGTAAAAATTTTAAAATGTACATTTTTATTACAAAAAATGTTCATATTGGAAAAGCATAATATTAAATATTCAATAAGATTAAAAAAATTAAATTTTAACTAAATAAATTTTAATAGAAGGACAAGAAGGAAAAAAAGGGACTGAAAAAGAGAAAAGCCCTAAAGACAAAACTGTGGAAGATGTCTTTCCAAAGACAACAAATGTAGAAGGTAAAAATTTATAAATGTACATTTTTATTACATAAAATGTTCATATTGGATCTACATAATATTGAATGTTCAATAAGATTAAAAAAATATATAAATATTAACTAATTAAATTTTCATAGAAGGACAAGAGGGAAAAAAAAGAGCCTGAAAAGGAGAAAATCCCTAAAGAGAAAACAGTGGAAGATGAGTCTACAAAGACAACAGATCCGAAAGGTAAATAGTGGAAAATGTACATATTCATTACCTGAAATGTTCATTTATATTGTATATAGTAAACATTTGTCATCCAATTTAATAAATGTTTATTTAATCTTTTATATTTGATCATTTCATATGCAGCACAAATTGCACCTGATTTTGTTCAAATTGAGGATGAAACTTATCTTCTAGATCAAGATGATGATAAAGTTTCCACAAAACTTAGTGAGGAGACAGCTCCATCATCACAAAAAAGTGATCAGTCAACCAAAATGAAAACAAGATACAAAATGGTTGCAAGGAAAAACAAAAACAAAAGCCTTGTTGTTGTGCCAAGTGGTAGAATTACAAGGAGCCAAGGTAATCATAATACTTTTCTGTTACACAATAAATATTACACTTTCAAATATACTAACATAAATTTTTTTAAAAACAATAGATGTTCTGTTAGATGAATCTGAAAAGGGAAGCCTGAAGAAGGCTGTTGAACCTGCTAAAGAAACCGCAAAAATAGGACAGAAGAGAAGAATGTCTACAAGGAATTTTCCTATTCAAAAGGAAGCTGATGCACCACCTCCAGCACCTACTCCAATAAAAAAAATGGCAGGTGCTCCTGCTGAATATCCTCCAGACCAAGGCAAAAAGGGTAAATGTTCAATCTTAATGTATAGAATGATCATTTATGATGGTATATCATTAATGTTCAATTTCAATATATAGGTGGGAAAAAGAAAACTCTAGAAGAAGTGAAGAAAACTTCTAAGGTTGCTGGCAAAAGAAAAGCAGGTATATAATGATATATTATAAATGTTCAATTTCTATATATAGAATGATCATTTGAGAAAACAATTTTGTTCATTTTATCATTTGCTTACTGTACATTTTCAATACTTAAACAAAATTATATATTTAATTTTCAGATGTCAGTCCTGCCAAGAGAAATGCTGGAAAGAGAAAAAAAATACAAGAAGTACCATCAGATGAACCCTCTCAAGATCCTACTGATGAAAGTTCTACTGACAGTGATGATGATAGTGAAGAGTCAGTTTATAGAGCAGAAGAAGAGCCTGTCAGTGAGGATGATTATGAGGTGGAGGAAGAGGAGGAAGAGGAAGAAGTAAAGCCAAGGAAGAAACAGGCAAAGAAAGGGAATTCAGTGAAGGCAAAGGTTGAAAAGGAGGAGCAAAAGATGGTACTGTATGATGAAGGAAAGATTGAAGGTAGGAGAAAAAAGAAAATGAAAACTGAAATGGTTCAAGCAATAGAAACTGATGAAGTTGAGGAAATTCAGGAAGATGAATTTGAGGAAGAGAAATCTTCAAAGAGAGGAGGACATGTGAAGTTCATTGCATGGATAAAAAAGATGACACCTACCCAAAAACAACAAGTTATTGATATAGGGTTAGGATCACTTCTTGACATTAGTTTACCTCAACTTGATCAAAAGTTCTGTAACTGGTTATTGGGAAGTTTTGAAGAAAATAGCCAGTGTTTTGAACTACCAAAGAATGAAAAAATAGAAATTGAGGTAGAGGATGTTAGGGTAGTTTATGGCTTGCCTACAGGAGAAATTCCAATTGTTGAGCCAAAGTCTGATAAAATTAGTGAGGAGTATGCAGAATTTCTGAAGAAATGGAGAAAATCATGGTCAGGAAAAACTCCATCAGTGAGTCAGGTATGATCAGTTTTAAATGTTCATTTTAAATACATTAAATGATCAAAAGTATAAATGTTTTGTTCATTTTGTTTGCAGATTGTGAATGGATACATAAATGATAAATTCACCAACAACAGACCACCAAGTGAACATTTCATTACTAACTTTTTAGCAGTGGCTGTGAACTGCTTGATGAAATGTGTATCAAACAATCAATGCCATTTCAAATTTCTTTATTCTATGATGGACAAAGAAAACATAAAAAATTTGAACTGGTGTCAGTTTGTATATGACTCACTTATCAAATGTCATGTTGATTGGAGAAAGCAGCAAGGCAAGGGGTTCTACAAAGGCCCTCTTCAATTTCTGATGGTATATTCTTAGATACAAGATGTTCATTTAAATTTAAATAAATGCACTTTTTTTTATTGTTTATGTTCTGTTCCATGTTTTCTTTTTTCTTGTAGTTGTTCTATTTTGATAGAGTTCAGAGGTTAGACAAAAGGCCTCCAAGAACAATTCCTATCATATCTGCATGGAATAGAGACATAGTTCTTGAGAGGTTGAAGATTGAATTAGAATTGGGATTTGGGAGAGGGAAAATTCTACCAAGGATTGCTGCAGAAGTTGAAGAAAGTCCTAAGGTTATAAAATGATCACTTTTGTTAACATAAATGTTCATTTGTATAATCTGAAATGTTCAACTGCATAATTTTTAATATTCATTCATATAGGTTTTTATGGATGATTTTGTTTCCCTGGTAAAAACAACTTGTTCAAACCTGTCAAAGCTTTCTTCAAAATTGGTGAAGGCAAAGGATATCTTCCCTGGAAATGACTTGGTGAAAAAAGTTGATGAAGTTTTAGGAAAGGTGGTAGCTAGGGAACCATCAATTCTAAGCCAAGATGAAGAATTCTTTGGCAGTGAGGATTTCCTAAATGCACTTGCACAAGCTGAGAAGAATCTGATGCAAGGGTCTGAAAAGCAAACAACTGAGAAGCAAATGACTGGGAAGAAATTAACCAAAAAGGGAAAGGAAAAAGAACAAGAATATGACATCAGAAAAGCTTTCAGCTTGGGGTTGACTCCACCTTCTCCAGCCATTGGTAAATTCTAACTAAAAGAGACTATATATCCTAATTTTTATATGAAAAATTCTAAATTTGTGGTCTAAATTGTCCTAAACAGAAACAGGGCCCACCTTTTCAACACTTGGTGATATAATTGAACAACCAATAATTTCAACAAATGGTAATATGTTCATATATTTAATAATAATATACATAAACTTAAGTAGAAATTTTCATTTCTAATTATTATGTGTAAATACTATTAACTTAGTGTATCTCCAAAATGATGATTTATAATACAGCTGGAGAAAAGGATGTGGGTAAAACTTCAGCAGTTTCAGAACAAAGAATTGAAGAATTTTCTAGAACTGGTATAATGTTCAATTAAAAAGTGTAAAATGTTCATTTACAAACAAGAAATATTCATTATTAATTGTATTTTTTTGTTAGACGCAGCAACTGGTTCAAAATTTGATGCTGACACTAGGTCAGATAATGAAGGATTGCCTAGAACAGGTATAATGTTCAATTATAAATACTCAAATGTTCATTTACAAAGAAATTATATTATATCTAATTAAATTTTTTCTTAGATGCAGGATCTGGTTCAGTGGTTGATGCTGACCCTAGGTCAGATGGTGGTGAAAAAAGTGATGATCCAAAAAACACAGTTGGAGGTGGAAAACAAAACAAGGAAGATGTTTTTGAAAAAACAAAAAATGATGAAAAAGTGGAGGGGTAAAATCCTGAAGACATGTCTTACTATTAGGGTTATGTAATGGTGTAGGATAAAATATCTAGATGGAACAATTTAACTTATGTTACTATCGTGTTGTAACTTGAAACTGGTGTTTCTCAAACTATTGTATGTGTGAACATTATTTTGTTGAATATGTAATATGAATGTGTGGTTTATGTTAAATCAATAGGTTTATGTTAAATCAATATCTTTCATTTTATGAATTGAAAATGATTCAGGGTGTTACATAAGAAGCTTTTATTTTATTAATATGTACTGACATTGTTTCACTTTTCAGTGAAAACAAGAAGATTGTTGCTTCATCCTCAAAAGTCACAAAAAGGTACATTATTTATATTAAGTAAATGTTCAAAAATAATAATGAACATTTTCATATACCTAAATGTACATTTGTGTTATGTAATATGACCAGGAATGATGATAAGAAAAAGTCAATTGCAGAAAAGAAGAAAAAAACTGAAAAGGAAAAGGTTGAAAGGTATAATTTCAAATTTATTTATATACACTCAAATGTTCATTTATGTTCCTCATAATTTTCTTAATTTAACAATATTTTATATTGAACAACAAGACCAAAACGCGAAAAGAAAACAATTCCTCCTGCTTTCCGATCTCCTTACTTGGTCAAGTACAAGGATCTGTTTAAAGATGAGAAAGCCATGAACCAAATTGCAGTAGACTTTGCTCTTGGTGGAAAAGATGAAAGGTAATTACTTACACTAATTAAACTTAAGGTTTAATATCTTTTATAAAAATATGTTCACATTCATATTATTAAATGTTCATAATGCAGTGTACTCTTATACTATGATGGCTTGAATCTCATCAATAGAAATGAAATGAAAACTCTTGGAGATGATGTTGAAGTGACAAATTGTGTCATAGATGGATGGGCAAGGTTTCTTAATCATAAAAAGCCGAGAAACAAGATTTATTTCTCAACAGTGCTTCATGTTAGTCTTTCTTCTTTTTTTATATTATTGATTCTATTTTCCTATGATAAATAATTGCTAAAAATTCATTTAACTTCTATATGTTTGTTTGTATTTCAACAGCACATTATGTGCACAAATAGAGTTTGTCAAGAAGGATCATCAATGAAGACAAGAATTAATGCCTTCATAGAAAGAATTGACAATGAACTGAAGTTGAATAAAATTGACAGCATTGTTGGATATAAACAGGTATTAATTCTTGTTTAATAAAAATGTTCAATTACCTTCAATATATTGTCCAATAACATTATATAATTTGTTCAGGTCTTCTTCCCAGTATCAACTTCTCAACATTTTTTTCTGTTGTGCGTCAATCATATAGAAGACAAAATTCATATAATTGACAATAGAAAACTACCAAAAAAGGTATCAGTCCAAGCAAAATATGAAGAACAACCAAAAATGATGGTGAGATAATATGTTCATTTATAGTTGACTACATGATCAATTATATTTTATTAATTGTTCATGTCTTCATCACAATACAAACTTCTAAACAATTTTTACTCTTTTTTCTATCAGTTAAAAGGATTGGCAGAGTACATGAAACACCTTGGATATCAAGATGCAAAAAGAATTGAAGACTACACAGTTGTTTTGGAAAAGATGAAATGGCGTAGCAACAATGACTATACAAACTGTGGAGTTTACATTATGAAGCATATGGAAACCTTCACTGCTGATCCTAATGAGAGCTGGATTTGTGATTTAAAACCAAACAATGTAAGAGTTATAAATGATCAATTATTTAAGATATAATATTCATTTATGAAACAGTAAAGATTGTTTAATTAAAATTTGACAATTCATTTTGTTCAACAGGTGGAACAAATTAGAAATCTAAGGCTCCAATACACAGCAGAACTGATGTTATTTGAAGAAAACACTGAATCAAGAGCAAATAGAAGGAAAGCTAGAAAATTTGCAACTTTGTAGTTTCAAATGTTCATTTACAACTATGTATATGTTCATTTCTTATATATGACTATTTTTTTTTTAGAAGTAGACTTATGGATTTTATTTTAATATTATTGTAATTGATATTTCATTTTAATCTTTGAATGAAAGTTTTTTATATAATAGATCGAAAATTCAAAATTACAAAATAGTAATTAAATCAACATTACAAAAAAGTCTAATGTTTATAAAGTTCTGGAATACTAATTATTTATCTTTATTAGCCAAACGTTTAGCTACACTTGTATCAAAAAAGGCTAACAACCTATCATATTTAGAAGAAATCTTTTTAGAACCTAATTGAACATTTCTTGATTGAAGAATTGGAACACGAGCACCTTGATCATTTCTTTGAACTGTGGGAGGAGTAACTTGAACATTCTGAACAGGAAATCCTTGATCATTTATTTGAACCGTAGGAGAAATAACTTGAACATTTGTTGATTGAACATTCCTGGAGTTGGATATGATCATTTCTGGATTGGTGTTTGAACAATTCTGAGTTTGATTTTGAACATTCCTGGGAACAGTAGGTTGAATAACAACAGGAGATTTTGTTGACGCACTAGTATGAATTGGAACTCTTGGATTAATTTGAGAGTAAGTTTTAACACCAGAAGCACCTTTATTTGCACCAAAATTAGAACAAGGTTGAACAGCAGAAACACCTTCAAGATTTAAATCCTTCGCCTTTAAAAAAAATTAAATTGATCATTAATAAACCAGTATATGATCAGTTACAAACACTTATACAAACAAATATGGAAAAAAAAACCTTAGCAATAGATGAAATATCAACATCAATAGATATGATAGATGAAAGAGAGCTTTCACCAGTAGCCTACAAAAAAACCAAAAAAAAATATAAAAAATAAAAAATTAAATAAAAAAAAATTATAATATAGATCATAAATGTTCATATACCTGATCAAAATCATTGGAAATACTATGATTTGATTCCTTAGAACTAGAAGGAATTTCTTCTACAACAGCTGATTTTAAGCCGACCTATATTTTTAAATTATAAAAATCAATATTAATAAAATATAAATAAAATGTTTTTTTTGGCACATTTGAATTTACCTGAGCCCGTTTATTGCTCAAAACAATCAATTCAATGGGATCAGTAATAGAATTAGCATAAGTAACAGCACAACCGTTCTCATCAAGTTCCTATTTTAAAAAAAAAACATAAATGATCATTTACGAAAACTGAAATGATCAATTTGAAAATATGAAATGATCATATACCTGTACAACTGCTTGCCCTATACCCCTTTTGTAAGGAGTGTACAGAGACTTTTTCCTCTTGAAATTACCCTTTGCCTTGTTACACTGCTTCTCCAAGGTACTCTTAGGCCTTACATTCCTCTCACCTTTAGGCCTAGCTTTTGGAGGATTCTTGATCTCAAGATCAACAATTTCAACCTCTTTAACAGGTTCACTAAAGTCAATTACACCTGATACACTCTCAACCTTTTCTTTTAACAGATTGAAATAACACTCAACCTCTGCCCTTGCATTCAAAGAATTCTGACAACTTGTTATCAACTTAACAAACTTTCTGATTGTTTGTGACCTCCAAACACTAGTAGCCACAACATTTGTCCTCAAAGTAGGTTCTTCAATACCATGACTACACATGGCAGCCTTTGTCCATCGTTTCATTATATACTCTTGTGGAATATTACGCACACAATGCAAATGATATACTCGAAGAGAATGAGAACAAAGTAAACCAGTCTCACTAAAGTACATGCATGTGCAACAAATTGCATGTGTTTCCTTATTAAAAACAACTTCATGCTTAATTATATCCTTCCCAGGCCTCCAAAGAAGATATGAATATTCTGGAAAACGCAAACCATTATCAACATGATCATAAGCTGTCCCCCTAATGAACTCCTCTTCAAAAAGAACATAAGCTTGAATAGTGTACAATGATCTTGCATGAACTAATATACCAATATTAGCAAAAGCTAGGTGCCTATTACCCCTCAGAGTATTGTAATCTCTTGCACCTTCCTTACTTCTCCACTCAGAAATGACATCAAGAAAAACATGATAAAAATCACATAAACCTTGAGTCTTATTAAGACGTTGTGAAACTGACTTATTAGTAGTTTCACTACGTTGAGAAGACAATATACCACCAGACCAATACTTCTTAGAATAAGCAGGACACCACATTTCCTTTATTTTATACAAATCACATAACCAATCATCATTTTCACATTTGTATTTATCACACATCCTGTATAACAGAAATGATCATATATTAATTTAAAAATGAACAAAATATAAATTAAAATATGTACATTTGTGTAAAGAATAATGATCATAAACAATATGGACACTAATAATATTATGATAACATACATAACAAAGTAAATTGTATGATCATATGTAAAACACTAAATGTTCATATATATATCACATAATAATCAAATATATCACATAATAAAAATAAAAAATAAATACAAAAAACAATAATTTACCTTTTCCAGAAATATTCAAATTCAGCAGGAGTTTCACAATACTTCAAAAGATATCCAAACAAATCTGTAAAGCCTTCCAAAGCTCTCAATGCTCCAATGTGTTTCTTAGAATTTTGTTCAAGATGCCATACACATAAACGATGATGAACAGTTGAAGGAAAAATGTTTCTTATACCCGCTGCAATCGCTTGTGCTTGATCAGTCATAATTGTAATGGGACTTTTCCTCCCCATTGAGTGCAAAAATGTATCAAACAACCAATCAAAAGACTCGGTGCGCTCATTAAGAATAAAACCCATACCAAACATGACATTGTTACCATGATGGTTCATCCCAACAAATGGAGCACATATCATTCCATATTTATTAGTTCTATAAGTTGTATCAAAAACCAACAAATCTCCAAAGTAATGATAATCTCTCATCATCCTACCATCACGCCAAAAAAAACTAACTAAAGCACCACTATCATCTTGTTCAAAATCATAATAAAAATCTGTCTCATCCACATGTCTCTTGGCAAAATATTTAATCAATTGGTTACCATCACATCCTTCAATTTGGGCAGCTTTTTCAGATGACAATGCATTATAAGCATCAGAAGCAGTAAAACAAAGATTAGGAGATCCCCCAACCTCCTTCTTTAGAACCCTCAAAGAATCAGTAACTTTGACTCCACTCAATTTCATTGTTGAAATGAAAAGAAGCTGCTCTTTATTCACATCTCTTTGAGACCTTATCAAATGCCTTTTTTCAGGAGGAATCATAGCATGATTATGAACCATTTCATGTCTTGTACATGTATAGACCCCTAAATGATCAATATGAAACTGCACAAAAGCTAAACAACCAGTTCGATGATCCAACTTCTCATAAATCCTTTTATTCTTACACTTATTATCTTTGAATCCCTCATTACAACAAACAAATCTTTTCATCAAAAAAGAATCATCTCTTCTTCTCTTACTCTTCCCAATTCGAATTCCAAAACCTTTCCTAAAAGCATATTCATTATACGCTTCGAAAGCTTCATCTTCAGATTTAAATTCTTTATCCTTTAATTCAGACTGTTCTGCTTCTAAATACATAATATCATCATTTTTTTCCACTGCACAATATACAATTATAAATGATCATAAAGAGTTTCATGAATGAACAATAACAAATAAGTAAAATGTTCAATATCAAAACAGCACATGATCAATTGCAAAAAGATTTCAGCACATAATATTTTGAACAATATTTTCATTATTTACCACTACACATAATATCGATATAAAAATGTAAAAATAAATGATCAAAAATGACTTTAAGACTGAACATAAACACATTAGTAACAATGAATAAGAAAACATAAACGATTAATTGAAAGTATAATCTACAAAATATACGACAAAAACACACAATTCTAAAACACAGAGAAAACAACAAATGAAACAACAAATGAAGCAACAAAATGTTCATACAAAGTACAACAATCCAAAAACGTTCATCATAATGTAATCAAAGTAGTAAATTCAAAAATCGAAAGTGAATAATAATACATCAATTAAGTTCAAATTAACAGAGCATTATAACAGAACAAATTAGGGATAATTAAAAATTGAAAAATTATGATCACAATTACTCACATTGTTGCACAAACGAATCAACGAAACGAAGTCCAGAAGGAAACACACGCTCGCAATCGCGATCAAAATCAACGCAATCTCCAGATGCAGAATTCGCCATTGATGATCGGTAACAATTAACGAATTCGTTCAAAAAATCAAATGAAGAAGATGAATTAGCGAGAGAAAAATGTAGATCAAAAATGGAGGTTGGTTGATCAATTGAAGAGAGAGAAAAAATAGGGTTTAAAATCATATATATACATAAATTGAATAATAAGAATCAAAGGAAAAAGGAAAAAAGAGGAAGAAAAGAAAAAAAGAAAAAAAGAAAAAAAAAAAAAAAAAAAAAAGGAAAGAATCGCAAAAGGAAAGAAGCTGCACATGAGAACTCAATACCAGCTACAAAACGACGTAGCATAGGGGGGGTGTAGGGAACACACCCTACACTAGGGTGTAGGGTAAAATTTTCAGGAGAAAGTTCGAGGGTTTAAGAGTTGATAACTGATACCCGACAAGGAACATTACCAGCACCCCCTAACCTCCCCACCCTCCACGCGTGCCCGTGCCCGTCCCCGGCTTATTTCATTTATGAATTTTCTGTAAATTTTTATAACATATTCAATTCTATAAATGTTCATTTGTGTATCATTAGATTTTCATTTTTATCTATTCAAAAAAAAAAAATTCATTTTTATAATGAGTTATTTGTTCAAGTTAATGTATTTTTTAAATTGAATTTCAAGAATTTTCTATAAATAAAAAATGAGAGCAGATTTATTAATAAGAATTGTTGCGTTTAAATCATTTTTATTATAAAAAGTATTGCATCATCCCATGTTCAATTTTGTTTATTCATGTTTCAACAAATGTTCATTATTATATCATCACATATTCATTTCAAGAGCTAATGTGTAAGTTTCCTACTATGATGTATGCAAATACATACGTATCATAATTCTATTTATTTAAATAAAACGTTGTTAAGAAATAATTTCCACTATATAATGAATTTAATTTGATTACAATAATAATGTATTTCTATACATATATAATATTACATGTAATGGTTTTATAAACATGAAATTGTACCAAATGTACATATATGTCTTGTTAATTAAATGAATATTATTTGTTATATTTGGTATAATAAAGTGCATATCTATCCTTTTTTGTTGCACTTCTAATCATATATGTGTGTGTTTTCCATGAAAAATATAATTTGAGCACAATTTATATGTCGCCATTAACTTCTTCCCTTGACTATCCTATACAATAAGAGATCCATAAAGTTTTTAAAATAAAATATATATATATATATATATAATATAACAATAATAACGACACATTCCAAACAAAAGTACGTGACATCTAAGGATTCAAAATTGAACATTTACACAAGAATAACAATTAAGAATACAGAATTGAACACACTATAAAGATATAAAAATCTTTTAATGTGAGAATGAAAATGTATAAAATCTAAATGAACATCTATTAAATTCCAAATTAACATTTATCAATATAAAAAAGTACATATGTCAAAATCCAAATGCATATATATTAATAGTAAATGACACTTAATAATAATTCAGTATATCAAAATACAACTTAATATGGATTGATATTATAAATGGATGAATACCATAAAAGTATATTATATTTTAGAATGGATTTATCAAAGGTCTATGATGAATAATGAACAATATATGATTAATTTTAGAACATTTTTTAACTTGTGAATGAACAATTTAATATACATTAATATATGCGTGAATATACACATATCCAAATGAACGTATATATATGTATCAAACTCAAATAAACATATATCAATATTAAAGTTAAAATGTATATACGTAGCATTATATTTAAATGACGCTCATGAGCATATATTAATTTAATATGAAATTAAATATGTATTATTATATTTTATGTGGATATCTTCAATATGAGAATGAACATATACGTATTTAAAATCAAATAATGAACCTTTGTTTAAATACCAGTAAATATTCATTAATACGTGAATGATTATAAACCAAATAGCTAGGGTAAGTAGATCTAAAGTAATAATGTTATTGATCATGTACTAATATTACAGTGAACATCTATCAAAATGAAGATGAACATTTACCGAAAAGTCATTTTCAGTATAAACTAATTTAAATCTTAGTAATTCTACAAAAACTCAAATAATCCAGAAAATTAGCACAAGTATACTCTATACTAAATTTTAAATGGAAACAATTTCATAATACCTTACTCTCTCCGTCCCATAATAATTGATAATATGTTTCAAAATTAGTAATTACGATTTGAATATTAGTCCTTCTATAAATGAACATGAAGTTCATCAAAAATGAACATTTTTGACAAATTAAATTTACTTGTTGAAAATTAACTGAATAATAGGCTAATACACAATCAATAAATAAGTTTCTGCTAATTGATGTTACAGTTCCTGCTATCCAATATTCAAACTTATCGCAATTAAGACTCTAGTTGTTAGTTTGAATATAAAAAATGATTTTTGTATAAATAACACGCAAATTACCTCCAAATAACTAATCAATTAACTATTGTAGCAACAATAACAAAATTTCTATATTAAAAAACTAAAATCAATCTAACCTCAAAAAATCTAAATCATAAAAGCACATAGTTTGTAATAAATTGCATCAAATTCATCACAACCATCAAAGAATAATAAACCAAATGCAGATAAAAAATTCAATCGCAAAAAATAAATAAAAAAAATTAAAAAAATTATAGAAAAAACTTTGTACTTTTTTCTTTCAAAAAGGGAACAAACCAACTTATAATTTGATTTTACGTTGTTCTTTTAGAGAAATTTCTTGCAATTGTGTGATTTCATCTCTTATATTAGAAAATTATGCTTGATTTTTGTAGAGAATTTCAAGTTTTTTTTTGTAGATGTTGGAGATTTTGATGAGAGAAAAAATAGAGAGAGTAATATGGTTTAGGAGAGAGAAAATACTTCTAATTTTATTTTTTGGGTTGCTTAAGATGTATCTTTACCCGTTTTTTGTGCTTTAGTGGGAAAGTGAGTAGTGGGGGGTATGTAAAACTACATGCACTAGGGTATAGGCATATACAACTACGGGATACATTATACGCAAAAGAAAACTATCTAAAGTGAAATGTTGATGGTTATTGGTATCCCCTGAAAAAATACAAAAAAAAAAAAATAGTGGGATGGGTAGGGTAGTTATTGGTGTTTAAAAAAAAGTTGAAAAAGTGTGATAATAGAATTTGAAGATTGTGGATTTGAGGGATTATGGTTAACTGACTCTCAATTATATAAAGGTAAAAGCTAACGAACGCCCCAAGGGTGTTGGATAAGCTAGCTTAAAGTCCAAAGATTAAATTAAAATTAACATTAATTACACCAATTGACGCATGATTTTGTCATGCTTTCCCAAATTTATACCACTTTAGGTAATAATTTAATCTAAAGCCCCGGGGGCGATCTTTAGCAAGATCCTTATATAAAAGATTTGATTTCAAGTCTATCTCAATCCAAATTGTTTTTTTTTTTTTTTTTTTTTTGACAGGAAATTGAATTATTCTTGGAATTAAAAGTTGGGTTGAAATTATTATCACTACCTCTGTTAACTTTAGTTACAACTTTGAAAAATTTAATACCTCATAATTAATAGCTCAAAGTTACAAATAAAAGTTAACGACGGTAGTATATATTATCATTTTAAGATATTCTAAAATAAATAAAGTTACTTCAATATAGAGTATATATATAATTACACGTTTTGTTATATAATGTTTTGTATTTGATAAATGCCTTGTTTGGGAATTTGTTGTTGGTTGTGTGTAGCCGATTGTGTAACTTGGTTGGTTTGATAGTGTTGAAGAATAAACCTCTCAAGTGTCACCACATATAAGTGTCTCACATTGGTTGAAGAAGAGAGAGTTAAACACTTTATAAGGCTAAGGGGCTACTCCTCCTATTGCCATATGGTTTTGGGATTAAACCTCCTTTGATCTTGTAAAGTGGACTCTCTCTCTTGGTTTGCGGGTGCGGCCCAGACTCGCATTTAATATGGTATCAGAGCCAGACCCATGGTATGGGACCTCTAATGGTTTGAGTATATTGCCAGGCCCAAAGTTTGGGACCTCTAATGGTTTGAGTATATTGCCAGGCCCAAAGTTTGGGACCTAAGTTTGGGACCTTTAATAATGGCATTAAGTATTCTGGGCCAAATTGAATTGGATCAAGAGATCCTTGAGTTAAAGGAACCTTACATGTGAGGGGGAGTGTTGAAGAATAAACCTCTCAAGTGTCACCACATGTTAGTGTCCCTTATTGGTTGAAAAGAGAGAGAATTAAACATTTTATAAGGATAAGGGGCTACTTCTCCTATTGCCATATGGTTTTGGGATGGAACCTCCTTGGACTTGTGAAATGGACTCTCTCTCTTGGTTTACGGGTGTGACTCAGACCCGCGTTTGACATGAAGAAGCACTCTAGCCCGAAAAATCACATGGGACAAAGTTAAAAGGGACCTTACATGTGAGGGGGAGTGTTGAAGAATAAACCTCTCAAGTGTCACCACATGTAAGTGTCCCACAATGGTTGAAGAAGAGATAGTTAAACACTTTATAAGGCTAAGGGGCTACTCCTCCTATTGCCATATGGTTTTGGGATGGAACCTCCTTTGATCTTGTGAAGTGGACTCTCTCTCTCTTGGTTTACGGGTGCGGCCCAGACCCGCATTTAATAGATAGGAGCCCCATATATATAGTATGTTAAGGATTTTCTTAATTTCTTAATTCTTTCCTTATTCTTGCAACGAACTAAGCTCATTTGTACCGATTGTTTGACCATTGATTGTATATAAATTTGTTTGGTAAAGTAAACTGAGAAATGTTAGCTATAATTATGCTAAATGACATTAAAGGACATTCCCTTAAGCCTTACCCTCTCATTTAATCCCAAGTGTCTATCTCGCAAGTATTAGAACAAAAGAAAAAAACCACAAAGATAAAAGTCTAATCAGGGTCTTCCTTACCAATAAAAGAGATTATGATGAAGTGGATAAAATAAGTTTTATTATGGCCCAATGCACCAAATAAATAGATGAAGTGGATAATGATTTGGATTTTTGAATAAGATCTAAAGTATAGTACCTAATTTTAAATCGGGTTGGGTTGTATTGAGATTCTTAAAAATTCAATTTGGATTTGACTCGAACTTCAACAACCAAATTTTAACTCATATTGGATTCAAATTCAAACTGAAACATACGAGAAAAAGCATTTATCACAAGTAATTATGCCCTTGCAAGCTTATTATGTAGTGTGTTGTGCAACTAATTGGTTTTTGGTTTATGTGAACTAGCACGAAAAAAAAAGGTGAGCACACCAGAGATACCTTTGCCCGGTTTGCTATTAATAATCCCACCTTTATAGTGCATCTTCTTCTATTGGTCCCTTATGATCGGTAACCTGTACATTGGGTAAACTCTTTTTTTTTAAAAAAATAAAAAATTAACTAACATATGTCACTA